CCCCTTCCCTGGTCCCAGCTGCCCTTCCCTGGGCACAAGGAACAGAGCGAGGGGGCCGGTGCCTCCCTTGCAGCAGCTCAGCTGGCCCCAGGGCCCCCCAGGTGGCACCGGGGGTGTCACAGCACCTGCGTCGGTGGCACCCAAGGGTCCCTGGGGGGAGCCGGGGGCTGCGGGACAGGAGTATTTCCAGACAACCCAGAGCTACACAGGGCCAGGGCTGCTTGAGTGGAGGTGTTAAAAACACCCACGGCCGCAGTTACCCCCGCACGACACAATGCCAGGGAGGCCCCGCACGTCCCTGCTTTGTCCCTCCACCTGGGCCAAGGAGGAGCAGGGTCAAACCAGCTGGAAACCTGCTGGAAACCAGCTCAGCCCTGGAAAAGCAGCTCCCGGAGCCGCCCGAGCGGCCAAGGAGCAAAGGGCCGGGGCGGAGGCTCCGGGAAGGGAGGAGCAGCCGCTCCGGTGGCCTGAGGTGACCGTCCTTGGGGGAGGGGGACAGAGCCGCACGCAGCGGCCGCCGGTCACAGGGACAGCGGGGACATGACCCCAGCTCGGGGACACAAAGGGACACGGAAAGGGGATGGCAGAGCCTGGCTGCCCCCCAGGCTAAAGCGAGGGGATGATTTTCCTCCTGAGGAGCCCGCGGGAGGGCGAGATGCTGCTGGAGGGACATCCCCAAGTGTCCCCTGGCACCCCGGGCCGCAGGACACGGGGGCAGGGCTGCCACGAGCCCCCAGGTGTCCCCAAACCGGACACGGGCGCCGCCGGGCCCAGCGCAGTCCCAGTACAAACCCGTGTCCGGCTCCCGGCAGCAGCTGGTGGCCCAGCACGGACAGGCCCCACGCGGGACTTTTGCCTTTCATTTTTAATGGGTACAAAATAAAAGAGAAAGGAAACGAAGCAAGAGAGCGAGAGGAGGTGACAGGACAGGAGAGAGGGACAGGGAACCAGGGAAGCCTCCAGCAGCGCCGCCCGCGCTCTCCGCTCCGGCCGCCCGGCGCTCGTCCTCCCCGCCGGCCGGGTCCGAGATCTGCCGAGCGCTTCGCAGGAGTCCAGGGAGGGACTTAAATGATCTTTTAAAAAAAGAAAAAACAAAAAAGAAGAAAAAAATAAAGAGGAGGAGGGCGGAGAAAAGCCTGGATGGCAGCGCGCCGCCGGCCGCGGCGTCAGGGGGCCGTTTGCAGCATCAAGTTCCTCAGGAGTTTCTGGCGCCCGACCTCGTAATCCTCCTCGTCCACGTTAACGAGCAGTTTGATGGCCTCGTGGCCCACGGCTTGCTTGAGCGAGTCCGTGATGAAGACGCCCTTGAGGGCCTCGAGCAACGAGCCGTTAATGTAGTCGCGCCAGAACGCGTCGAGGTAGGTGAGCTCGGAGAACTTTATGTCACAGATGATGGAGCCCAGGTCCCGCGATTTGAGGATGGTGTTGGCCTGGTTGAAGCGCTCGAACTGGCGCTCCAGGGGGTCCTGCTTGTTGGAGAAGACGTTGCCTTGCAGCGCCGTCTCGTGCTGGCAGTACTCGGCCCGGACTCGCAGGCGGATATCTGGGGAAGCGGGAAGGGCGCTGAGCGCTGCCGCCGGGGCACGG